AAATAACGCAACGGGGATGCTAAATAACGATTGCAAGATCCATGTGCAGGAATCGGAAAAATTGCTGGGACTTGAAAAATCGCGGAACACGCAAATGTACATCGAATTCAATGATATCTGTTACTCGGTTCGTCGCAATCGCAAAGGCAAGTTTATCATCCGCTATCATACGCATCCACGAAAGTCGCGATTTTTCTGTCAATACCCTAATACGTTTTAGTTTGTTTTTTATAGCTGTGCTAGATAACGCAGATATCTCTCTAACGTACCGTAGAACTTTCCTTCTTGCATTCGGTAAATTTCGAACATGTACCCATTTCACTTTAAATACAAAGAGTATACGAAAGTTTAGTATAAGATTGGTTTATTTCCTCGATTGAAATAATATATTGTTACATCCGTGCGTACCATTGCGTTGCAACATATGTTGCACAAATACTTTTTGCTCATGTTCTTCACTCATTTTTTTTCCCTCCAAAATATGCGCATTAGACGTAAAATAATCAACAGATCTATGTATATCCCAAAGTTTTAACTGAAACTACCTAAAACCAAAGAAACGCGTTTATTTAACAAGCAGAAAAGTCATACAGAACAATGGCGAGACCACGGAACGGAGCATTAATCCAAAAAATTAAGCTATTAATAAAGCTATCAAAATGGCTTTCGTCATATTAAGCGGCATCACTTTCTCTGTTTCGCCCTCATCTCTTTCGTGCATCTCTCTCTTAGTATCAGTATTGCCTTTTATGATGGCTGCACTTTAAACTCTTTTCTCAATAAGACTTCATTTCTCTCCCTCATAATAATGCTCATGTTATTTCTTACCTTTAAATCGTCACCTTATTATTAACATCATTCCCACAGTTGCTCATTCGAAAAGAGACTGTGTTCTTGTATTGCAACATCAAGTGACTTTTCTAACTGTGTGCTCTTTAAATCGCTGTAATTTTGCTAATATTTAATAAAAAAATTTTTTACAATTTCTTTTGAAAAATGTTTTAAAAAAATATCGATAAAAAGTAAATTATAAGAAAAAAAATATTTTTTTTTTATTAGCATTACAGACTCGCGCATTATTTAACATTTTTTACTTTTTACTATAATTTGTTATTATATCACATCATTCTCAATACAACTTTCAAAATATGCAATGACATCTGCTCACGACGTTAGTACAGCGAAAGAATCAAGTAAATTCATAAGTTAATTTAATATAAAAAGATATAAAATAATATAATAAGATAAGATATATGATAATATAATATAAGATAAGATATAAGATAATATAATAAGATAAAATAATAAAAAAAATATAAATCTTAATTGTGTGTAAACACGACACGCATGATCAATATCGCGTTTTTCACACGTCGCATAGACATAGTTAAAGAATTAATGTTTACTGTAGAAACTGAGAAAACAGTCCTACGTAATGTAACGGGGCATTTCGAACCGGGAAAAGTCACGGTGATAATTGGTCCTTCCGGCGCGGGAAAGACCACCCTGCTGAAAATCATATCAGGCAAACGACTGAACGGCGTTAAAGGTACCATTATTGTAAATGGCGTTGAACAGAATACAGGAATGTTTCGTAAACAGGCGTGCTACGTACCGCAAAAATTTCATCTATTGCCGTTCCTCACAACGAGAGAAACATTCTATATAGCGGCACGTTTGAAACTCAACATTAATCAAAATGAACGAGCAGTTCATTTAATTGTAAGTATAATAAATAAATAAAAATGCGAAAGACACATTCCAAGTGTGTACAATATATAAAATAATATTTATTCATACATATACTATATACTAAATGTAATAAATAATAACATATTATTATATACCTAATAATACATTTTAATATGTTTTGTATATTTAAAATATTAAATATACATAATAATTATAAGTAAATATAAATATATTATATGATGTGTAATTATGATATATTTTTCATATTGATATTTTTACTAGCACTTATCTTATGATAAATAAAATGCTGAATAAAGTTATATAAATTGACACATCGTACATCATATATTAAATATTTCTTTCAGGTAAATGATATCGCAAAAAATCTCGGCTTGACAAATTGTCTGGACACATTGGCGAGTAAATTAAGCGGTGGTGAACGAAGAAGACTCTCCATCGGCGTGGAAATGATCGCCAAACCATCCATTTTCTTACTAGACGAACCAACAAGCGGACTCGACAGTGCGGCCAGTAATCAAGTATAGCATAGATTACTAAATATTAATATAGCTATACATCAGTAACAATTGCTTTACAAAAACGTTATTTGAATTGTTAATTAATTGATGTAAATCGATATTTGTTTCTTGTTATATTCCATTAATAATTCTGTATAAACGCGAAACTTCTAACAATATTGTAGTAACGTAACTAAAATATTAAGACATGTTATTTTGAAAGATCATCACTAAATCTTCACATGCTCTTAATATATTTTATGTATGATTTACGCGTTGAATAGCTCGTTAACATGCTGCACAATATGGCGAGAGCAAACTGTACTGTGATTTGTGCTATACATCAACCCAGCAGTCAAA